ATAAAATTGAATCTTTTTGTATATATGTGTTATTATTCATTCATGTTTATTTACTTTGTTAATTATGTCATTCATATGCATGTGCATAACATGAGCTCTACACCCGAGCTCCATCCCTCTAGGAGGGAGTAAAGTATCTATTGCTTTAGTGAGGTCTAATGCCTCCGCAGTGGCTAGCGAAATACTCCTACTCAAATTGAACTTTTTTTCACTTGTAGCCTGTAATGGGTGAGGATTATGGTGCCTTACTAGTCTGTGATGGACAAGGATGTAAGGAGCAATTTGAGGACCTTTAGACTTTGACCCTAAAACCGCATATAGTGAACCTTAAGAGCGCCTAACCTATAGATAGAGCCATCACTCTTCCCTTTTAGAATTGACCAAAAACATGGAATTCATCCTTCTTACTTTGTGTGATGTTTAAATTTACTTAGTTATTTATTCTTTTTCTGGGTATACTAACCGTTTTCTTATTTTTTTTTTTTACATTGGTTCATACGCATATCATAAAGTTGCATAAAGAACATTTGCTTGAAAAACGATCTTTAATAAATTTTTTTATGGACACCAATGAACGTTTAGTTTGTTCTTCATCAGTATTAACACCTTGTGGGACACCCAATGAAGTGAGGGCCCAGTCAGAAAAGACTCAACTGAAGATGAAAGATTGCTTGCCTATTGGGTATGATTCTACTCTGTCTCAAGAAACATCTATCCTCCTCAAACAGAATAATTTAAAGGATTTGGTTGATATCTGGAAGAAAATGAGTCCGTCAAGACAAGAGCAGTTTTGTCAGAAACATGGGCATATAGCACACTTTCTAGCAGTGGTTGTTGATGATCAACTAATTAGAGCTGCAACATAATTCTGGGATCCTGCATACAAGTGTTTCATCTTTAATGAAGCTGATATGACTCCCACCATAGAAGAATATTCGATCTTGTTGGGTTTGCATCTCAAGACTCCTGACAAGATATATGTCAAAAAACATAAGTCAGGATTTCGTAAAAATCTGGCTCAACTCATGGGGATAGACAAGGAAGTTGTGGATTCTCATACAAAGAAGAAACAAGAACAAGTTTGCCTACCTTGAAAGTTTTTTCATGAGTTTCTGATGCAACATGCCAATGAAGAACGGGGTTAGACATATTTACCTTGGCTATATACGGACTGGTAATCTTTCTAAAGGTTTTGGGACATATTAAGATAGCGATGGTTGATTTCTTCGAGAGTATGATCAATGGCTGTAATCTTTCAACGGTAATATTAGCAGAGACTATCAGATCTTTGAGTTATTGTCGTCGGAATGGAGGACGTTTCATAGGTTGCATACAGTTATTGTACTTATGGATGAAAAGCCATTTTGAACAAGAAAATGGTGCTTTCTCGAAGCTTTATATCCGTAATCATTTTTCGATCAAGAAATTCTGCGAAAGTGAGTGGTCAAAGCGGAAGTCTAAACAAGAATGGATAACTTTCCTTCAAGAGTTGAAAAGCGCCAGGGTGAGATGGTTGGCCCCATAGATGAATCGTGAGCCTATGTTATACCAATGTGGAGATAGTATAGTGGTCCCACTTTTGGGTCTATGGGGAGTGACGAATTATGCACCACTCCTAGTGAGAAGGCAATTTGAGGGAGAACAGTTAATTCCTATGACTTATGGGCTTCATCAGTTAGACTTCTCTTATAGTGAGCCTAAAACATTTTAGAGGATGAATGAGATGATTAAAGCATGAAAAAATCCTCGAAGAGTGAGTCCTGGACCGTTCACTGATAAAGTCACCCCAGGGTACTTGGTCTGGAGAACAAAAAGAAAACAAGAAATGGTATTCACTTATGAAATCTCTCAACTACCAACAGAAGAAAAACTTGAAGAGACACCATCAGAATTAGAGCTGGCAACAAAAGAATTTGATTCTGAAAAGAGCAAGTTAAAGCAAGAGATTCAGAAGCTTCAAGAAGAAAAAGCCCAGTGGAAAGGTAGAGGCGAAAGTTATGAAGTTAAAGTTCACAAGATTGCTAGAGAACATGATACAACTATTGAAGATCTAGCAAAGTTATACCAGGAACATAAAAGGTTATGTGTGAGAGAAAGAGCCAAAGAGATAACCATTGTCGAGCTGACTGAGGAAAATACAAGACTGAAGCAAGAGTATGCCAAATTAGAAGAAGAAAGTACCGAAGCACAGGCAAAAATTAACATGCTAAACAATTATTTGAGCAAGCTAAGTCAAAGGTTGAAAGAACAAGGAGACCACATTGCTGCATTGGTTAGAGAACATAGAGAATTATCATACCAAGTCTGGTGTGGTAAAAGAGAGAACTTAGGAAGGTAGAAATACATTGAGCACTTAACAACCCAAATCCATAAAGGGGTATGTAAGGCAAGAGAGATGGTGGAAGAGACAGAGGCATTAAGACAAGTGGTGGCCCCAGTAGGAGAACATGGACAGCGTCTGTTGAACTTCATAGAAGAAGCCAAGGCCCAGTATGAACAGATCAAACAATTTTATGGCTATAATTCTAGGATAATAAACTCAATATAGATCAAAGTTTTTTTTGGAATAAATGAAATTTTTTAGTTGAATACCGTTTTAAGGTAAATGTTCTTTGCATACATGCATTTTTCATTCATTGCATTCTCATTCATTACACTTAACAAAGTAACCATGTGATGATCATACAAATTTACTAATTCTAAGATATAGTACTCAAGGTTCCAGGATAGCTCCATCTAGCGAAAACCCTGCCCATCGATACAACATAAGATCCAGAGCAAGGCAAATGGAGCCAAAAAATTCCCATAGATTTGAAAAGATAGAAAAAATACAGGAGAAGATTGAAAGTGAGCTAAGCAAGATTCTGAAGGCTCTTAATAACATGAATAAAAGAAAATGAGTTGAAAAAAAACAAGCCAGCAAGTTCCCCCATTACAAGAAGTGGTTGACCCTTTGTATATTCTAAGTTTTGGCCCACCTCAAGCCCAGTCTACTCAAGGGGTCCCACCACAACACTTCATATATT